GACTAAATATATATATATATATATATATGCATTTGCCCTCAACATCATACACCAAAATTCTTTTCTTATCTGATCTTTGCGATAGCATCAAAATCACTTGTGTATTTGGAGGCATCACCTATTAAACACGTCCGGAAGTATAACATATTTCTACTGTGTTTCCCTGTGGCAGGTAGACCTTGTACTGGGACCCAGACAATAAATATTTATGATGTCATGTGATTTTTAGACCAGCCAATCAACATGCTTACACATACCATATTTACTGTTTGTTTTGTAAAATATGAACACACACAAAGCTCATGATAAAATATGAGTATTGGCAATATTCAAATTGTCTGCCTCATACAAAGCTATTTGGATCAAATGAACCGCAGTCGCATCTATTAATTGATAAGGGAGCATGGTTTAAACAAAGGTAATTTGGATGTCAAATTCAACTCATGTGAATTTAGAACTGACCAATCACCAATCATGCAGTTTTTATGTTTTGTTTTGTTGATGAAACTTCAGAACAATACAGGCCATGTATTCTCAAACCGATCTTAGCACTAGGATGTCCTAGAATCAATGTTACAAGATAAGAACCTAGGACATCCTAGCGCTAAGATCGTTTTGAGTATATGTGGCCAGGATTACATGCAACATTACTGTATCGTACAAAGCTATTTGGATAAAGTGAGCCACAACCCCATCTATTTATTTAGGGGCCATGGTTTGAACATGATGATTTGCATGTGTAATGCAACTTTCTAATCTGATACGCTAGTAGTTAATATCTTGTATTAGGATAAGGGCTTTGCTTGTCCTCCTTTGCATAAGGCAGAGTATGCTCACTCTCTCTGGAACATCTGATACTACTTCTCTCAAGAGAGGTCCACTTTTATTTAGTTTCATTTCCGGGATGTTGTTTACAGATTGTTTTTGCACCTGATTTTGTCCTGTCTATGAGTTTTCCGACTGGCTTTGAGACTTTGGTATTCTTTCAATCAGCTCTAAACACCAATAGACTTTATGTGATATTGACAACTGTCTTTGATATACTAACTGATAGTAGAAACTTAAAGATACCTGTATGCAAATAAAATAGTTGCTAAAAAGGAGTAGTATATCTATAATAGTGTTCTTATTTATCTACTAGTATAAAGTTATTGATATTTTATTGAAGGATATTGATATATAAGTGATATTAGTGAAAGTGTGAAGTGAATTGTGCCTGTGGGTTTTAGTTTAAAATTAAGTGACTTATATAACAGAAAGTGACAAGTTGAATAATAATATTTTAGCAATGTTAAAAACCCTGATTTAAGACCATTATTAATTATATTGAGATATTCAGGTATACCTGTTGGCCAAGTTACAGGATGGAATACTTAGAACAATACTAAACAAAATTAGTGAATTGATCACAAATTCAACAGATTTTATTACATTATATTGCCGATATCATAATCACTTCAATTTCAATTTTTTAAGGGACACTGAGCTGTGAGCCCTTTACTGAATTACAGCTGTAACAGATATTTGATTTTTTATGTGTATCAGGGACACTGAAAGCATCAATTTGCACCATTCCAGTTTTCAATCAGACTTCTGTGGTTCGTGCAATTTCACTAAATTTATGTGTTTGATAACGTCATTTATCACGAAGGGCCTTATGAGGTAAAACATATTTTGCGAATAGTGACATCATAAAACTTTTAGATTAGTGGAATTGCAGGAACCACAGACATCTGATTATGAATTGGTGTGGTGCAAATTGATGATATCAGTGTTCATGATAGCATCAAATATTTAGAAAACCTCTTTACAATTCCTTTAAAGGCGCCCATGTGCCCATTTATTTACAATGTAATTTGTTGAAACATAAAACTAATATCCTCAAGAGTACTCTATTATAAAATTGTGTTACTCTGTATATTGCATCATAATCTATTATTTAACAATAACATTCTAACAGTTGGTGTAAAGAGTTCAAATCCAGGTGACATACATGACCTTGAGATTTATTATTGACTTTTGAGCCGAGAAAATGAGATTTGTAATTGAATGTGGCAAACAAAAAATTTTTTGTCTGATGGTAAAACTGAAAATTGAAGTAATTTGTAAAAGAAGGTTAATATAGGCTGTCTATAATATATATAGGTGTATATCTATCTATATCTACTATATATACAGACTGGTCTATTCTCTCTAGCGGGGGTGATAGGTGGTTCAACTTGACGGTAATTACCAGTTATATATCTTCAATCACCCTGCCCTGATACGCTTTCTCACATCTAGTCTAATTAAAGTGTTAGATTATAGATTAGGAGGTTTGAAATGGGTCGGCTATCAGTCAGGAAAGGTTAGGATCTGATTGTCAAACCCTTTATTCAAATAGACTCTTCCAAAACATTTGCCCTACTGATGTACAGGCCAATATATGAAGAAGATTGAGTGAAAATCAGCCTCCAGGAACCAAAACTTGAAAAAGTCTGCTGCTGCCATTTTTCGCCTTAAAACTGGGTTAATTTGAATAAGTGTGGTATATCAGATTGATATTGCCCTCATTACTGTGGTATATGAGTTTGATATTCACTAGTATATGACAGGCTGTATGAAGAGTAATATAGTAAAATTTATTGGAGTTTTTCTCAGGATTTATGAGTGAAGTGAAGGAGAAACTGTACATATTCAACAGATAACAATAATTGGACATGCTATATTAATGATGTGGTTAGTTTTATTGAGAAATTTGAACATGTGTTAGAAATTAACATTTATTACAGAATTTCATGAAGGTGTTGGAGGTCTTCATATTTCGTATTACGCAAACATTTTGCATAGTTCTATGGTCGTAGATGCATTTCAAACAAGACATCTGATTAAATCAGTGTGCAAATTGTGTTTAGTGTGAATTCAATTAACTCCATCTACTCATCTAAGATATTTCCAGCTAATTTTGTGTTCCTGTAAAAATCATCACCTACGCATCAGTAAAATTTTGAATATTGTATTTTTACTGTGGATCTTTGTGTGAACATTTTGTAAAAGATCATCTACTTGTTTTAGGGGATATTTATATCCATCTTAAGAGATTTAGATATTATAGAGATGGTATACTGAGAAGGAAGTGTGAGTTATTGATGATATTGCCCACTTGAAATATGAAATAAACAGGATAATTCAGAAACGTGAGAAATAATCTTAATTAACTCAGTCTGTTTCCC